TGTTTTTGGAAAGTCAGAGTCATGTGAAGTCTCTTCTGGAATACTTTAGAAGTTTCTTTATGTTAAACTTGATAGACATTTAGAGAAGAAGACGATGGTTTCCAGTATCCTTTTGATGTACATGTTAAAAGTCAAGTTAGTATTCAAACAATATGGCAATTTGTGACCAGTGTGATGGTGTAGACCATGTAGCTGCACTTGTAGGACGGGGCCACCATGATACCATCCCCAAACTGGCCCGAGATGTGCTTCAGGATCCTCACCCTGCCCAGGCAGAGAACCAGGTTAAACACACACCTTGTATACATAGCTTATGAAGCAGAAATACAGACATCAGCCCAATTCACTTTGCTTTGTGGTAGGCACACAGGCAATACTTAGTCAATACCTGTTGATTGATTTGAGCATGTCTTGCTTTCTGCATTTCCTTTTTTTATATCTTTAAGAGAGATGTTCTGTTCTTTGATGTCAGAGAAATGAAAATATTTCATCTCTCAGAATAAACTAGAAAAGCGTATCACTTCTTCCCTCTTCTGCACCATCTTTAATGACACACTTTGTTTCTGAACAGAGACAAAGACTTAAGACTTAATGAATGTAAGACTTTCCTTCCTGTAACTTTATGTGCTTGCTGTTTGGGTACATTTTTCATTTTAATGGGGAAATATCTGTGTTTCTAATGAGACAAAAATACTTTTAATCTACTATATCAGTGCAGTTGAAAAAATCTAAAAACTATTCCATGTGTATATAACTATCAGGGCCAAATAGTTAAGATTAACACTGATTTTATTAATGTTTCCACTCGGACACATTTGCTCTATGTAAAAGTAGGATTCCTAGAAAAGTCATAGGATTCACAATATTCAGAAAGAAATGCACTTGTTTGATGTTTAATTTATTTTAAACTGTAGGAAATTTCAAATATGTTTGAAAGCCAATAATATAATAGATAATGTTGTATCCAAGAGCATTGTTATTATTCCCATATTTCATTCATACAGTTCTGATTTAAATAGGAGTAACCTCTATGGAATTGTCACATATTTTTCCCTGTGTAATCTTTTTCTTGGCACTGTCAAATGATTTTTTTTTTTGTACCAGGTATTGAACTCAGGACCTTGCACTGGCCAGGCAGTCACTTACACTGCTGAGCCATTTCCCCAGCCCCACAAGTGGTTATTTATTTGCTATTTAGTCTTGATAGTTTCTTTTTTTATTAATTTTATTGAGAAACAAATAGCAATGAGAATTTCAAAACTTATTAGTAGGACAGTTTCAATAATTAATACATTGCATATTGTTGTCTTCTTAGTGGTTGTTCATAGCACAAGATGCAGACATGATATCCTGTCCAAACACTATTAGTACAAATCTTTTTTCTCATTGAATTAAGA